GACTCCTTCGTTCTTACAATTTTCTTCTGCCATCGGGCTTAGATTTACAAACGTCTCTGGGCATGAGTGTGCTGTATTCAGTATGATGGACTCAACACCTAATTTCCTCTCTGGTTGCCCACAAAACCCAATTCCAAACTGTCCAAGGTTGTGTCAATCTCTGTATATAGTGTTATGCCTTGTATCTTGGTCTCACTACAGGTGATTTGAGATAAGGGTATCTACAATGGCGTGTTTCTTAGCAGAGTAGAGCCAGAACTGGTGATTATAAATAAAAACAGTACATTAGGAATAAAGAGGCGTCAAGGGAGATGTGGGTGGCCGTCAGTCCTGAGTGACTGTCTTCTCCTGGGAGCTCATGGGGAGAAAGTCCTTAGATCCAGACAAAGGAGGGTGGGCATGCTATTCCAGTGCACACCTGGCTGTTTGTAGGGGCAGTGACGTTAGACTGGTGATCTCCTGATTTCCTTCTGCTGCCTGACTCCCTTTACTTTTATCCCCATCCCTCTCTGTCTGGACTTTCTTTTTCATTTTCTTTTCTACTCTACCTCTTTTCTTTCCATTTAGTGATAGAATTATGGTTATTTGAAATGTACCTAATTTATTACCTAATTTATCCTCGGGGAATATGATGTGTCTCTCTCTCTTTCATACTCTTTTTCCCTCACTCTAGTCTATGTTCATACTAAAAATACATAGATAATTAAGTTCCCATTTGAGAGAACAAATGGTCAACACAGCCACAGAATTATTAAAGAAATGGAAATGAACTTCGGTCCTTACAAACCATTTTATATCATTCAAGCTCAAAAGCAGTTTCTCACTATCTTCAAGGGTCAGTTACTTCACTGTCCATGTTGCTGCAAATCAAAATTAATCTGTGCCCTTGATCATAAGATGATTGTCACAACACTTACCGTCATGGACTCCAGTTTGTCCATTCTCACTTTTTGTGTACCATTTCACTAAACGAGTTTGACACCACTCACTGTTGGATTTTTATGCCAAGAAGACAGGTTGCTTACAGCTTGGGACTATTCAGAACAATGTTTTAATTGTTTCTGTTTTATGCACAAAGGCTGTACAGACACTTTCAGCTACATAGAAACTTGTTTATCATGAAATGTTGGTCCTTTTATTTTGCAAGAGCCTTGTCCTTATTTTACTAAATTTATTCTCAGAAGTTTCTAGTATTGCATCTTGTTTGTTTATTTGTTTTTGTTTGCTTTTTTTTTTGAGACAGGGTTTCTCTCAGTAGTACTGGCTGTTATGGAACTCACTCTGTAGAACCAGGTTGGCCTTGAACTTATAAAGAACTACCTGCCTCTGCCTTCCTAGTGCTGGGATTAAAGTGTGCACCACCACCCCCTGGCTGCACTATTAGTGTTTTAGTTTAAAACTTGCGTATTTGTTTCATATGACATACAGAAATTGATGGATTTTTATTAGCACTCACTGATTTCACAAAACAGTGCATTTGATCACTACATTGTCGTGAATGTACTTAACACAGTTTGATCAAATTTACTCCACATCACTGAATTTAATGTCCCCTGTGGCCTCTTCCTGATTCTCTTTCTCTTTCCAAATCATCCCATTGCTTCTTCTGTTTCCCCACCCTCCTTAGATGAGGGAAACATGACCTTTGTCTTTGGAGTCCTACTTAATTTACTTATTAAGATGATCTCCAAATTTCAGCTGTTTTCTGGACAATGACATCATTTATTCTTCTTCATATATGCCATAATTTTTTTTTTTGCATCCGTCCACTGAGAGACAAGCAGGCTGGTTCTTTGTTGTATGTACTGTGGAGGAGTCATGTGGTGGTTCTAATTTTAGATTATTTTTAAAGATCCTACAAGCTAATTTCCATACAGACTGTGCTAATTTCCATTCCTATTACAGTGTGTAAAAATTTCATTTCCCCCTGGATCCTCACCAGCAGTTTTTTTTTTTTTTGTTGGCTTTCTTGATGACAACGTTTCCTGGTGGGAGTGAGGTAGAATTTCAAGGATCTTTTGGTTTGTATTTCCTGGTAGTTTGTGGTGTTGAAATATGTTTTTTGTATATTCTTTCAGTCATTTTTACTTTTTGCTTTTTAAAAAGTCTACAGAGAATTGGAACATTTAGTGATGGCATGAACTTTTGTTTTGATTTAAACTTTTATTTATTTATTTATCTATTTATTTTTATAGTTTTTATTGAGCAATAAATTTCTTTTCTCCCCTCCCTTCTTACCCATACCTTTTTTATGCTCTCTCATTATCTTTATGCTCCCAATTTACTGAGGAGATCTTGTCTTTTTGTACTTCTCATGTAGATTAGATCCATGCATGTTAGGCTCTTCTTTGTTGTCTATGTTCTCTGGGGTTGTGAATTGTATGCTGTTTTTTTCTTTGTTTTATGTCTAAAAGACACTTATGAGTGAGTACATACCATGTTCATTTTTCTGTGTCTGGATTACTTCACTCAATAGAATGTTTTCTAGATCCATTCATTTTTAGGCAAATTTCAAGATGTCATTATTTTTTGCTGCTATGTAGTATTCCATTGTGTAAATGTACCACGTTTTCTTTATCCATTCTTTTGTCGATGGGCATTAAGGTTGTTTCCAGGTTCTGGCTATGACAAACAATGCTGCTATGAACATAGTTGAGCACATGTCCTTTTGGTATGATTGGGCATCCCTTGCATATACATCCAGAAGTAGTATTGCTAGGTCTTGAGGTAGGTTGTTCCCTAATTTTCTGAGAAATTGCTGTACTGATTTCCAAAGCGACTATAGCAGTTTGCCCTTCCACCAGCCATGGAGGAATGTCCTCTTTACCCCACATCCCTTTCATCATAAGCTGTCATCAGCGTATGTTTTTGATCTTAACTATTCTGGCGGGTGTAAGATGGGAACTTAGAATAGTTTTGATTTTCATTTCCCTGATGACTAAGGATGTTGAACATTTCTATAAGTGGCTTTTAGTCATTTTAGATTCATCTGTTGAGAGTTCTCTGTTTAGGTCTGTCCATTTTTTATTTTATTATTTGTCCTTTTGATGACCAATTTTCTTGAGTTCTTTGTATATTTTGGAGATCAGACCTCTGTCAGATGTGGGGTTAGTGAAGATCTTTTCCCATTCTGTAGGCTGTCATTTTGTCTTGTTGACTATTTCCTGGCTACCCAGGCCTGAAATAATCACACAGAAACTATATTAATTACAAAACTGCTTGGCGAATAGCTTAGGCTTCTTATCAAATAACTCTTATATCTTAAACTAACCCATTTCTATTATTTTACATTTTGTCACGAGGTTGTAGTCTATCAGCAATTTCTGGCATCTCTCTCTTTTGGCAGCTACATGGCATCTCTCTGACTCTGGCTATTCTCTGTTTATATTATTTCCAGCCTAGCTATATTCTTCCTTGCCATAGGCCTAAAGTATTTCTTTATTAACTAGTGGCAAAAAACCTATTTACAGCATATGTAGGGGAATCCCACATCAGTTTGCCAGTATTTTATTGAGTATTTTTGCATCACTGCTCATGAATGAGATTGGTCTATAATTCTCTTTCTTAGTAATATCTTTGTGTGATTTTGGGTATCAAGGTAATTGTAGCCTAATAAAAGGAGTTTGGCAATGTTCTTTCTTTTTCTTTTGTGTGAAACAATTTGAGGAGTATTGATGGTTATTAGTTCTTCTTTGAAAATCTTGCAGAATTCTGCACTGAAACTATCTGGTCCTGGGATTTTTTTTTTTTTGGTTGGGAGACTTTTGATGACTGCTTCTATTTCTTTAGCAGTTATAGGTCTACTTTATTTGCTTATTGGGTGTTGATTTAAACACTTGACATTTTGATATTTCTTCTACCTTCTGGAAATCACCTCTCCTGTCCATCCATCCTCATGGTCATAAGATTCAATATTGATTGTTTCTCAGATCCACTCTTCCAAGGGTGTTGTTATGAATAATGGTCAGAAAAAAAAGCTAAACAAAGGAGAATAGACTTAGGGTTTTTGTTTTGAAAAGAAAAAAGGGGGAATGCTGTGTGATAATGCTCTTATAAACTGTAAAGACTTGTCACTCATGTTGGTTTAATAAAATGCCGATTGGCTAGTATTCAAGCAGGAAGTATAGGCAGGGCAATCAGACTAAGAGAATTCTGAGAAGAGGAAAGGCAGAAACACAGTCATAAAACCAGTTGTAGAAGAAGCAAGATGAACATGCCTCGCTGAGAAAAGGTATCAAGATACGTGGCTAAACATAGATAAAAATCATGAGTGAGTTTAAGTTGTAATAAGTCCAAGCAATAGGCCAACAAATTAATAATTAATATAATCCTCTACATGCTTATTTGGGATGGAATAGCTGTGGGTGTGTGTAGGACAGAAATTTCCATCTACAGAAACCTTCCATGGATCTACTGTTTCAAAGCATGTTAGTGTCACTAAAGCAGGGCAGAGGGGAACCAAGTTGAGTATTTAGAATTCTGTTTAATATGTGAACTTTTTTATGTGGTTCATCAAAACAAAATGACAGACACTATGAAATGATGATAGCACAGAGTTTATTAAAATTGCTTATTTCCAGGGACACATGTTATAAGTGAGAAGAAAGAAAAAAATACCACATAAAAACATTGGGGTAGCTAAGAAAATACATTTGAAAAGATAATGGATGAAATCAAGTTTTATTTAGGAAGTAGTGTTTTCTTAAGATATTCGGCGAGAGATATAAAGATCCTAGTTCAGAATTTAGACTGATACCTGACCTTCACATCCGCCCCCATGAAGATGACATCCATAATCTTTGGAGATGACAGGAGAAACATGTGAGGGATACCATCTTTCCTCACAGCATTTCCCACACTTAAGTTAAATTTTATATTTGCCAGGTTTCCTGGTGAGAACATGAAGGGGGTCAGCAAAGGCTAAGGTGTAACTTTGTAAACCTAGGGCCCATCAACTCTCTGGAGAGCATGGCTGTGCAGACATTCCTTAGGGGCGCTGGTCAGCAGCAGCAGGGTTGGCAGCAGGGTGTGCTGCAGCTGATGGTCACACAGGTTGGCGTGCAACAGGTGTCCTTGCAGCAGGTGGTGCCACAGCAGGTGCTTTCACAGCAGCTGGGCACACAGCAGCAGGGCTGGCAGCAGGTGGGCACACAGCAGCAAGGCTGGCAGCAGGTAGGCACACAGCAACAGGGTTGGCAGCAGCAAGGCTGGCAGCAGGTAGGCATACAGCAACAGGGTTGGCAGCAGCAGGGCTGGCAGCAGGGTGTGCTGTAGCAGATGTTCACACAGGTTGGCTTGCAACAGGTGGTCTTGCAGCTGGTGGTATCACAGCAGCAGGGCTGGCAGCAGGGTATGCTGCAGCAACATGGGAGACAGCAAGGCTGACAACAGTTGGACTCAGGGCAGCTGGGCTCACAGCAGCAGCGCTGGCAGCAGGTGGTCTTGCAGCAGGTGGTCTTGCAGCAACATGGCTCACAACAAGGTGGGCAGCAGCAGAGGGCCATGGTATCAGGTGTAGAGGGTTTTACTCTGTTCGTAGGAGAGTTTTCAACAGGGTAGCAAGTTTTGCCAGTCAGGGCCTTTTATACCATGAGTCTCCCAGGATTAGGCCAATCAGAAAGACTCTTCTTCTTTGTTCACCATTTCCATATTTAATTTGTGTTCATGAAGAAGGAAATTCTTACCTAATATTCTGTCCATTTGAAAGAGTACATTTCTTATTTGGGGATAGCTTACTTGAACACTTTCCAGTTTCTCAACGATTAATCCCACTTGCTTTGTTCTAACTCTCATTGTCATCTGGTCTTTGGTAGCTCCTGCTCTATGGGCAGGTCAAGATTCCTTCATTCTTACAACTTTCTTCTGCCACCTGTGCTTAGATTTATAAATGTCTCTGGGCATGAGTGTACTGTATTCACAATGATGGATTCAACACCTTGTTCCCTGTCTGTTTGCCCACAAAGCCCATCCTCAAAAGCTATTTCCTACTGTCTTCAAGGGTCCGGGTCAGTCTTCCAAACTTGGCATCACTTTTAACATCTTTGCAAATCAAAATCAGTCTGTGTCTTTGATGATAGGATGATTGTGACAATCCTCACCATCATGACCCTCAGTTTGTACAATCTTTTTATGTAATCTTTTCCTAAATGAATTTGACACCGTTCACTGTAATTTTTTTCCAAGAAAACAAATTGTTTACTGTTTGGGACTATTCAAAACAATGCTGTTACAATTGTTTCTGTTTTAGACACTAAGGCTGGACGTCCACATCTGGGTATCTGGAAGCTTGCTTATCGTGAAATGCTAGCACTTTCATTTGCAGAAACCTAGTCCTTCTTTTACTAGATTTATTTTTGGATTCTTTTTTAACTTTATATTTTTTGTTTGTTTGCTTGTTTTTCTTTTGGTGTTTTTGATATAAGGTTACTCTGTGTCGTCCTGGCTGTTTTGGAACTAACTCCATAGACCAGGCTTGCCTTGAACTCATAAAGACCCCTCTGCCTCTTCCTCCTTAGTGCTGAGATTAAATCTGTGCATCACCCAGCTGCACTATATGTATTTGAATTTAAAACTTCCACTTTTGAGCCTGGTGGTGGTGACACACATCTTTAATCCCAGCACCTGGGAGGCAGAGACAGGTGGATCTCTGTGAGATTGAGGCCAGCCCCATCTACAAGAGCTAGTTCCAGGACACCTAGTCCAAAAAACAAACAACAACAACAAAAAAAAAACAGAAGAAAAATCCTACTATTTTTGTTTTGTATGACATAAAGAAATTGATTGATTTGTATTAGCTTGCACTGATTTCACAAAACAGTGCATTTGATCACAACATTGTTGTGAATGCATGTAACACAGTTTGATCAAATTCACTCACCATAACCCTCTTTGATGTCCCTTGTGGCCTCTTCCTGATTCTCTTTCTCTTCCCAAATTGACTAATCGCTTCTTTTGTGTCCCCACCCTTCCTTAGATGATGGAAACTTGACCTTTGCCTTTGGAGTCCTACATACTTCACTTATCAAGATGATCTCCACATTTCATGTTTTCTGGAAAACAACATCATTTATTCTTCCTTATATGCACCATATCTTATTCATGCATCTGACAGGCAGGCAGGCTGGTACTTTGTTGTATGTACTGTGGAATAGTCATGTGGTGGTTCTAATTTTAGTTTTTTGGAAGATCTTGCATGCTAATTTTTATATAGTGTATGCCAATTTCCATTACTATTAACAGTGTGTAAATCCTTTCCCCTGGATTCTCACCAGCACTTGTGTTTGCTGGTTTTCTTGATGACAGCCCTTCCTGAAGGAAGTGAGGCAGAGTTTCAAGGATGTTTTGACTTGTATTTCCTGGTGGCTAGTGGTGTTGGACATTGTTCTTCATGTATTCTTTTAGTCATTTGTACTTTCTGTTTTTTAAAAAAGTCTTCAAATAATTGGACCAGTTAGTGATTGTATTATCTTTCCCTTTGATTTTAACTTCTAAATTTATTCTCTCTCTCTCTCTCTCTCTCTCTCTCTCTCTCTCTCTCTCTCTCTCTATTGGATAACTAGTTGGCATAATTCCTGCTCAGATTGATACCTGTTCATGTGGTCAAGTATCGGATCCCTGCAACTGTTGGCTCAGGGCAGTTGCTCTTCTTCAAAGCTGATCTTTGCCTGCTGTACTTAGATACTAATTTTATTAGGGGATGGATATAATGCTATGGCACCCACAGTGATGAACTAACTAGTTGGATTCTAGCCTGAATTTCTATGTAAGTCTTGGCTTCTGTCCCTGTAAGAGCCTCTCATCTCTTCTCTATGTGTGAAGAAACATTTAGTTTGTGGCAGAAGTTAAAAAGGAACAAGATGTAATGGGCAAACCAGCTTCCCATTCAAACCCTCAAAAGGGTTCTCTGAGGGTAGGGAGAGTGCACGGATGTCCGCAGCCAGTACAATGTTTTTCTTGAACTTTTTCAGAGACAGGATCATGCCAGTGTCTCTGATGGGCATTCCACCCTCATATAAGATGATTTCCATCTGGGATAGATGAAGAACATGGTCATTATATAGAGACTGTCTTTGTACATCAGCATAATCTCCCTCTCTACAAAGTTGTTCTTGGGACATTTCCACCCCGTTAGCCCTACTTCATTGTTCAATGATTTTACTCTCTTCTTTCAACCAAGTTGTCCACTGTAATTGAGGACCAGGCACCAAGACTGTTTTAAGCAAGTCTCCGTAGTCTCTAGGAATAATTCTGTTATAAGTTGACCATGAGTTTACCATCTGCTTCACAAAAGGTGGATGTATGCCATTTGAGACTGTTGCTTCTTTGAATCTCCTTAAATCTAATATTTCCACAGGAGTCCATATAGCTATTGCACAGTCTTGGGATATTTGTCATTTGGCAGTTTCTGTAAGGTGACTGAATAAATTAAAGTCATTTGCTGTAAATCTTAGGCTGTTCATCTCTAACCTTATAATGCAATGCTGAAATTGGTTCTACATTAAATTCCTCTGTCTGGATCTGAATATCTCTATGATATTTTATTACAGTTTTTCTAAAACTTGTAGCTTAGCACTCTTGTTAACCAACCCTTTTAGTGAAAAAAACAAAAATTATAAGACTGATAAAGTTTAATATTGACATTAGGTAAGTACCATCTAAATTAGTTATCTTCTTTGTTTGGAGCCCAGGTTCTTCTTGAGTTTGAGTGGCAGGTGGATACTGTTTCAGAGAGGCTACAATAGGAAAATATCAAACTTGTTCAGAGACTTGGCGGGGGGCGGGGTAGTAAAGGAAGCCTAGCTGGGCAGGACAGGAGCCCCAAATTAAACTAAAACAGAAGTCCACATGTAGGTTCAGCTTCTGCCAGTGGCTATAGAGACACAGAAAGTGGCTTTTTCATGAATTCCTGCCCCGCACTGGGTGCCAGTATGTAGGATAAATTCTAATATGTGTTAGTAATAAAGGCTTGGAGTCAAATATTGGAGAAAATGCTGAGATCAGAGAGTTGAAGGAGCAAAACCACAGCCACCTTACCTCTCAACTTCCAGGCTGAAAAAAGAATGAGTTCCTGTGTCCTCCTGCCTTAACACTTCCTCTCTCCTACTAGCCATATAGCTTCCTTTCTCTGTGGACACTTTTTCTCTGTGGATAAACTTTTTGGGATGCTACTCTACAGAGACATGAAGCTCTAAGTTGATGAAGGCTATTATCTGGGAGCTGGGAAATGGTTCATTGTGTAAGAGCACTCGCTTGCAGAGAACCCAGATTCAGATCGCAGCTCCTATAAGGTGATGCACAACTCTCTGTGACTCATGTTCCAGGTTATCAGATGCTCTCTTCTGGCCTCAGTGGGAACTTGACTCATATGGAGCACGTAATACTTGTAGGCAAAATTTTATTCATTTATATACTCATAAATCTTTGACGTGTATGGCAGATAAACTCAAAACTGCCGTTAAAGAATTACATGAAGGGATAAAATAAGAGGGTTTCTATTCTCTGACACTAAACCAGTTCTTCCTATTTCACCAGCAACCATGGAAAAAACTGAGATCTCACCAAGACATGGCCCTCAAACTTGGCTGGAGTATGAGAAGGGAGAGGTGACAGATTAAACAACATTTTATATATATATAAGAGGATCTCCTGTGAGTCAAGGGAGACAAAGGAACATTTTAGACAATGAACAAGAGCATCCTCCTGAAACTATTCAGAGTGGTTATGCAGTATTGGAGTGCTTCCTATTCCTTTATCTTTTCTATGACCTGGTTTGAGTCCGGGTTGAAAGCTGGCTGGCTGCTGCTGATGCCATTTGGCAGTAATTCTCTAGGGAATTATATAATGAATCTGGGGTGGACTCAGGTCAGCATAGTCTTTTAGAGTTGAAACCTCTTTTTCTTGGATTCCTACTGTACTGTGTTTCTTAAGAAAAGCCAAGGTCCTGAATGTCTTTATGGCTTTCTAGAGAAGTATCATTTATGAAACCCAAACTCTTGTTCTAGGAAAAAACATTTTCAGGGTTTGGGGGTATTTTAAATCATAGCAAAATATCACTAAGACAGAAATATCACCAGGAAAACAGCATATCCAGTTGCTCAAGACAAAAATCAAGACTTCAGATTACTTTTAAGGGTAAAACTTTTAAGTCGCACAAGTACCCAGCTGTGCATCTCCACTCCTTTAATTCCAGTACTTGGAAGGCAGAGAAGGCAAATCTCTGTGAGTTCAAGGCCAGAATGTCTAACAGAGAGCTCCAAGATGGCAAGGGAAACACAGAGAGATTCCTTTTTGTTAGCTTTTTTGTTTTAAAAAGAGAATAGCACAAGTAGCTGTAGAGTCATTTTGTGCAAAGGCAACTTGTGGAAAGGAGTAGCTCAGACATTAGGAGAGCAGGCACTGGTGCTGTGATGGGAAGGAATGCCATTTCTCTACAGATAACTGGTTGATGAAGCATGGAATTTTAGAGCCCAGGGAGCTACACTTAGACAGTGCCTTGTCCAGTGCA